TTGCGCCATCTGTGAACGTGCGCGCTTTCGACTCTTTGGAGACTCTTGCCCGCCCAAATTTGTTTCCTCTCTGCTGCGACGCTGCACGGTTGACATTGCGCTGTTCTGCGTCCAGAGTTCCCTGGCAGGGTTTACTTCGTCCACGCGACGAACCCAGTCGGAGGAGTGTCACACGGGCACAACTAGAGATGTACGCTTTTGCTCTCTACGCATCGCTCGAAATACCATGTGTACTTTTTTTTTTGTTTTCTTTTTTGGCGGGACATGTATGGAGATTCCCACTGCGGAGTTTTCTTTCCCGCATTGGAGGAGCTCGCCAGCAGTCCCAACCGTCTCTTCCATACGTTGCGAAGATTTTTCTATGAAGAAAACTTTCCCTGGATTGAAGTTCTCCCCCCCACTTGCAGTTGCCTCATTTGGAACTGGTGACCAGCAGGAGGTACACTCGATCTTCCGTGCGCTGCCCTATTCACGACTGCACCCGCATCGCATGTGGCGCAGAACCGTTTCAGAAGTGAATTTACCACCTGGGGTTTCTTTGGGATAAGTACCCTCCGAGAAGGGAAAACCTCCAATTGCGTAATAGGATTACCCCCTGGGATGCGCTTAGAAGTTGCTACTTTTGACATTGCCACAAATGCACTCAGTTCGTCATTACGTAGGATCATTCAGGCAATGGTGATTATCCCTTCGCAATGAAATTTTCAGTTTCCGTCCCTTCGTAATCCAACTTTCGTAGTGTTCGTCCCTTCGTATGGGAATACAGGCAGAATAAAGGGCCCCTTAGAAAAGGAGGCCTTCTTGGTAGAAGTCCCTCTGGTTATTCCCTATTACCCAAACGTATGATTGAACACACCTGCAGGGAATACACCGTCCCCACCCCTGTTTGATTCTCCTCAGGAAAATTAACAGAACGATGTGGGGGTGTTGGGTAAAACTTCCAAACAGACAAGGGCTTTCCTTTCGACCCCCTCTTTCCTACCACGAAGAGCACGTAATATGCTGAAGCAACAAATGGTGTATTTTAATAAAATGGCCTCAAACGTCGCGGAGGTGCAAAGATGAGCTATACTTCTCTGTGAGCCACATTTGGGGTTCTTTCATTCCGCCGTTCATTTTGGACAGCCCACCAGATCTTCGTAGCCAATTTTGGTACACATTTTTTTTTTAAATTTTAAAGTAAAGGTACTGACAAAAAAGTTTTCCCCTCAATTTTTCCCATAAATGGATGGAGAAAAAAAAAAAAAAAAAAAAACTTAAATGGAGAATGGATAGGCACCCTTGGGGGGGGCGAGTGCTTAAACAATCCGCTTCTCAACGAACCGTTAATTGTCAGATGACACTTCGGCAGAAGCGAAGTTAATCCTCAGAGGGTATTCTACACGTAGTATAGGTGATTTAATCGCTACCTAGTTGGCGGCTCCCACAGTAGCCTTTGTAGTCGCCTCCGCAGTACCCGCCGCTGTGGTCGCTGCCCTAGGTTTGTGTCCCTTTGCTACAACCCTCTTCCGCCTGATGGTTCTTCCCTGTGGCCAATTTGGGGCGACCTACATTGTTCACATGGAATGCAAACTGGCGGTGAAACTCCCCTTTCGCATTTATTCGAGCGAATTAGATCACCGCCGGATGTAGCGGTTCAACAGTTCATCCGTTCGGCACTTTATCGGTGTGTCCGCGCACCTATTTGCGCAAAAACACCCCGCATCGTATCTTTTGTTGATCCTTATCGGGGCTCCCCAAAACTGCTGTAGCACCTCGACATGGCCCTTTCTTTTCCACCCCAAGTTAAGCAGAAAAAGGGGGAGCGGCGTTTCCTCTGCTGCGGCTTTTTCAACCGCGGTTTCTCACCTTCATTCACTTGTCGCAGTGATACATTTGGCTTCACACCTGTGTAGCTGTCCCTTCTTGATGCACACGAGTCTCTACCTTTCGTTACCCCCCGGGGATTATCTTCTACGCAGTAGGAAAAAAAAAAAAAAAATTATAAAGGAAACGAAAATTAAGCAGAGAGGGGAGATCAATGGAGGTGATACGTATCCTTGTTCTGCGCTTCGGCCAGACAATCGTCCCACCTGTTGTGTCATTTTCCGTGTGTGTATGACGATCATTTGAGATACCTCGTTCGGCGATGATAGGGATGCTTGCCCTGGGAAGTAACTCCCTCTCGATAAGCTTTTCCTCCGCCTCCGCATCTTCGCCAACTGTTTATATGCATTCCTCCTTCATGCACTTAATCCAGCTGATAGCAACTTTTTCTTCCCGAGGGGATGTTCTCCACCCGCACCGAAGGAAACGAGTGGACTTGTCCAACAGACTCCACAAAGGAGTCCACAAAAAACTGCAGAAAAGACCACCTCCCCACTCTTACATCGACACACCCAAAAAATACCGCGCGAGAAAGGCATCCCTTTCATCATTCTTCCGAGAAGAAGCAAATCTCATTTTTGAGGAGACATATACTTGTGCATTCACTCATTTACGGTGTGCTTCAGTAGGGCCCGGCGATCTGCAAGATGGGAAGGGGGGAGGTATACAGAGAGTGTACAGGGCAGCTAAGGAGATAGGAATGACTCGTGGGGAAAAAAGTTAAACTAAGAAAGTAAAAAAATTTTTAAATGCAAAACTAAGAAACTACTTTACTACTTCACTACAAAACGCTCCCTGTTTGACGCTGAAACGACGCGCACTTGCACCTTACAGATGGCGGGCCAGCGAAAGGTAGGGTTGGGGAGAAACTCGTCGCCCAGAAAGGTGTACGATATGAAGTGCGACGCGATACTCTTCAGGGGGGGCTGCTCCAATTCGTGCACCTTCATGTTCAGTTCAGACAGAGTCACGTTGGTTACAAAACAGGAGTTCCACCTCTGCACAAGGTTGACGCAGAATGCGTAGTAGCTTTCCAAGGGGTGCACAATTAAACATCCTAAAATGTGCAGATTCTGAAAAAAGAGCAGGGCATTCCCCGTGAGAATAAAGTCTTCCCCTTCGCTACTGTTCTGTACCTGCAAGGGGTAGTAATCCCTGTTGGGGTTCTTTCCAAGGAGATCATTCCTCCCGTGCATTACGTATTCTTGCGGAATGACTATCTTCACCTGATACTTCTTAAATCGATAATAATCTAATACCACCTTTATTCGAAATGGGTCGAAATATTTGTTGTAGTTGTCCTGGTACCTCGTGCCGATGTTCTTCCCATCAAGGATTACCATCTTCTGCAGTGTCGGGTTTCCCTCTTCTACCCACACTGTCCCGTTTCGCATCTGATGGGGCTGTTCATAGTTATGTGGAGACGAGCTGCTATCCCTCTTACACGATGCAGACGTTATTCTGTCCATTGGGACTTGACCCTTCGGGAGCTTCCCCATCAATGCCTTCGCTTTACCTTCCCCCTTGTGAAAGTCGTCTGCTTGGAAAGGAATCCTAACCAATTGGGTCATGGCGTCTATGCTGGAGTCTGCCTCCATTGGGGAACTCGGATAGGACAGGTCTTCCGAGTTGGCTCCCAAGCTGGCCTCGTCACTTCCCTTGGTCATCTCGTTAGACGAATTGAATCTTCCATCCATGACATCCTTGCAACTGTCGTCATTCTCTACATTACCGTTCGGCATGGACCCTAAATCATCGCTCCTAACCTGATGGAAGCTCTCCAAAACGGGATAGTTAAAATAATCGTTTTGATTTATTCCACCATTTGGATGTGCTCTGTAACTACCAGTGTGATCGCTCATCACGTTGCCCGTTTTGTTGTCGTCATCGCTTCGGCTCATGGTGCAGCTCATTTCGTTTTTGCACACCTCTGCGCCGATGGGCGTGGTGTACTCTTGGCTTCCTCTCCCCCGAGATGTAGTATCCGCCACGTGAGGCACCTCTACCACAGTCATCTCTGCTATGCCGTCCGCATTGGGGAAATGATCCTGCCGTATCTCGCCTCTCCCTCGCGTAGCCAAATACTCTTTGCAAGCGTTAGGGGCGTATACCCTTTGCTTTTCGTTCTCGTTTAGCACCCCCTGGGTCAGAGACCTAAACCGCATGATTCGAACGTGGTCTGCTACCTCCTCCAGCGGCTCATCATTCGGGATGTCAACTACTGCCGCAATGTAGTGATCTCTTTTAGAGCATTCCTTCGGGTGGCACATTCTGTGTCTGTTCAGTGCGACCCCATCATCGCTTTGCTCACCGGAGCTGTTCCTTCCTTGGCTATCATTCGCAGAGGCACTCTCATATGTGTGCCCCGTCCCGTTACTTCCACCTTGCCGCTCCGATGAATGCACATTATTTCCACTGATGGCGGACATCTCGTATAAATCGTTGTAGCAGTTTATCCCCTTGCTGGCGTCGTCCCTAGGGTCCACTATCTGCCCGTTCATATACAGGCTGCTCGCCTTTACAAACAATGGGTTCTTTAGAAGCACCACATCTTCTTCATTTGAGTCGTCGAAATTGGTGAGATGGCTACCCCCTCTGTGGTTGTTCCGCTCGAAGGGCAGTTGGTTACACTTTATGTCGACATGGTTGGAGCCAAATTGTTGGTAAGCCACGTTAGAGAGGCTGCTCCATTGGGAGGAAGCTACCTTGCACCCCTTCTCAGCAGAATGGTTTCCTCCGCCGTCCACACTACTAAACTGCAACCCACTCAGAAAAGGATAAATGTAAAAATCTTCCCTAAGTTTGTAGCGCAGCAGTGATGTATCATTCAGTGGGATTTCCTCCTTCACCTTTATCCCCATTAGTAACTCTTTGATGCTTTTTATGATGTCTTTGTTGTGAGCAAATTCGGGGTCGTCACAGGGGTCCTCCACAACTTGGTTGTAACGGTTCTGTTTCGAAAAAGGCGGTTCACCTTTCCTTCTCTCCCAGGGAGGTCTCCTCGCGGCGGAGGAATGCAAAGTGGTCCTCTCCCCGGGGGTGTTCTTCTCCCCGCGGATAGCCCTCCTCCCGTAGACGCTCTTCCCCCGGTAATCCTCATGGTACTGCTTCACGAGGTGGTCCCTTTCTCTGTTGTCCTCCTCGGTGCATCTATCCAAGTCCACCTCCCAGACACTAGGCTCATTTCGGAACCAGTAAAGAGTGTATATAAAAACGGACAAATAGCTGGGGAAAAAATTCGTGTAGAAGTCTTCACATGACAGTAACAGCTCGTGAATCAAAAGGAAAGAAAAGTAAATCTGCTCATTTTTGTAGACATATTTGGAGACATTTACATTGCCATAGAAGAAGGATCCCCTTGGGTTCCTGTACCCTTGGTCATGTTGGTTCGTGATAACATATATAACCAAACTTAGCAGCGTAAAGATGATGAGGATGATATTCTTCAGCATCAGAGTGTCTTCTCTCCTACTGTTATAGTACTGCAGCTTTATGTACCTATTGGTGTAGTAAATAAATTTATTTTTTTTTTTTTCAAATTTGTTCATGTTAATTTTGGAGAATAGTAGCTTCACAATTTTGAAGTAGCTCATGTAGAAGTTAAAAATGGCTTCATTGAGTTCTTTCTCGGCTAGGTTTTCCTTTGTGGTGCCATGTCCACCGTTGGAACTTCCTTCCTTCTTTCCATCTGTGTGTTTTTTCCCAGCTCTGGGGTTCACTTTATCGTGGTGCCTTTCCCTTTGGTGGTAGATGGTGTCCTTTCCCTCGTTCTCACTGCCCTTTATGGAGGGAAGAAAGTGCCTCTCTTTAGTTTTGATGTAGAAGATGCCCCTCCCCAGTTTGCAGGACGTTTCGCCGTTGCAGGGATTGCTCACCGGGGTGCCGAGGTCGACACTTCCGCTGCCTCCTGCCCCCCGGAGGCGCGCCAGCCATTTGACCAGGCCCTTCCCCCCGCTGAGGACGCTCTCCATGTACATGACAACGGCGTCCCTATTCGGAGCAGGCTTAACCGCTATCAACGAAAGGAAGTAGAAAAACAGGCATTTTATCGGGTTGCCCGTCGTGTAAAGCAGAGTGAGCTGATTAAATAGGTGCCCACTGTACCTATAATAACTCAGGGCCTTGTAATAATTCAAGCATGCCTTCATTTCATTTTTTTTCTTCTTTTCCTCAAAGAAGTAACACTTATATCTGTGCAGATCGCCCAGAATTTTGAAAATGTTGCTGATGCAGATTCGGACGATTTCTAGACGGCTGTGTAGGGCTTCCCTCTCACCCTTTGAGGAACCACTCTGATCATCATGTCGATCATGACGCTGCTCACCCTTTTGGTCATTCCGTTCTTCACCAGGTTGATCGCTCTCCCTGGCGTACAAAATGTCGATAACGTTGTTCACGTAGGAGTCCTCCCCAAACGAAAGGTCCTTCAAATGGGTATCTCCGCTGTACACATCACTCAGGGGCGCATGTCCGGAGTAGTCGCCTTGTCTACCCACCACATGGTTCATGTGTGAGATATACTCGTCTTTTTTCTCGCCATATATTTTTAGTGCAGTGGATAGAATGGTCTGGAAGTACTCATACGCATCGTTGATGTTCATGCGCAGGGTCAAAAGGTCCTTTACTAGCAGGGGACCGTTGCCTTTTCCATTCTGTAGCACTCGTACATTTTTTCCTAACGTTTTTATGTTCTGATAGAAGCAGTATAACCATATGCAGTTCAACAGCTGAACGGCCTCGGAGTTGTTATTCCGTATGTATTCAAAGAGGATTTCTTCTTTTTTTTTTTTTTTTTTTTTTGGGTTAGTCATACTGTTCTTCGCTGCGCGCCCGTCTTTCAGCCTCATTATTGGTCTCTTTCGGGAGTAGCATTAGGAAAGCGCACGAAGGCGTGTAAGTCGGTTGGTCGGTCGGTGGGGTAGCTGTCTGTCCACGTTCAAATGCGTGCAACTAAGTGCATATACTTAAGCGTAAGTATATATTTTGTAATGCTGTACTGGGGAACGGTTGCACCTCACGGAAGCTCAACTCCCGCGATGAATGCAGACGCGGAAAAGAGGATCCCGTTTTAAACCCTGTATGATCGTCACGTGGAGCTCATTTGCCTCTCACGCGTAGGTCATCTTCGCACAACTGTCACGCGGAATGCGCTAAAATGGGACATACCCTACGCATTACTGCATTTTCTGGTAAGTCGCTTAAACGCCTCTCCTCTTGTGGGGGCCTCCCTCCTAAGGCAGGTGGAGATTCCTACTGTTGAGCGAATGGGGGAACTGCTCTACTGAACTCGCATTACCGTTGTGTGCGATTCGACTTACTCTCCTTTTTCTGCATTTGCTGCGCCGGGTGGGGTGACATCCTCTGGTGCTCCTATCTGTATAATATGTATGTGTGTATACACGTATATACGCTCACATGGACGCGTGGACACACTTTCGCATTCACCCCGACTACCACGTGCAAATCGGAGGCACCCCTTTTCCAAATGACACTCGGGCGGGATGCTGTTATGCAGGCTTTCGTTTCGTACGGCGAGGGGTTGGCATCGTTAACGCGTTTACAGAGTCCACATTGCGCAATCGTTTTGTTCGCCTCTTAGCAGAGTTCCTACTGTGTCGCTACTGCTGGGGGCATTGCTGAGAGCGCTACCGAGAACGCGGCTGAGAACGCTCCTGAAACATTTTTTTTTCTTTGTAACTGCCCCTTTGGAAATGCTACTTCCCCGATGGGTACACTCCCATGTGCAATGAAGAGCTGAAAAGGATAAGGAAAGAAAAAATATATCGCTCTTTAATCAAAGATGAAAGAAAAAACGCAATATATTTTTTGGCGCTATATTTCTGAGTGTAAATTTAAAGCGATACATGTATATGTACGCACGTGTTCTCGTGTACTTGTGTACATATATAACGTATAGAAAAATTAAACGTAAACAAAAAAAAAAAAAAAAAAAAAAAAAAAA